CTGAGAAATAAAATCCACAACACGGATAGTACCAGTAAAAATGTCATTGAGCTGAAGAAAGGAATTTTGAACTTGTACCGAGTTTCATGGTGAAACATTGATAAAATGACATGCAAATACGTAAAAAGATATGCTGAATCCAATGAAATTGGTTTCATAATTACTAACCTTGTTACTTACTAACCTTGTACTTACTAACCTTGTTTATCGGATATATTATTTTCGTAATAGTCAAGAATTTGTTTTCCTTTTGTAGTAGATTCAGACAACAATTTACCAATACTATTGTCAGCTTCAATATTATCATTCAATTTTGATAATGCATTTAAATAGTAGTTACAGGCATCATCATACTGTTTCCATTTCAAAGTAATATCACCCCATTTTATGTATGAATCGATCAGTTTTGAGTTATGCTTGATTTCCTGTTCCTGTTCTAGAGTTTCGCCGTTTTGATTCGTATCCGATGTGGTCGTCACTACAATTAACGAAAGAGAGTAAATCACGGGCATTTTCATTTAAACAAACGCCTGATCCATCACTGACTCTGATTAAGGGTAACCCCCCCCCTCTTTTTTCACCTTGTTTCCAAATGTGAAGCATACGTCCGATCGAGTTCAAATTTATACTAGAGATAGAAGAGCGAAAAAGAAAATCGATGTATTTTTGCTCAGAATTTTGTGACATGATCTTCTATGGGTTTTCTGGAAAACTCCGGTTTTCATCCACTGACATTATGATCCTCGAAAAAATGGTCCGATCGAGTCGAAATTTTTACCACAGATACTCCAGACCCTATCTCAGAATGAAAAATTCTTTTTCAAAAAATATGCTGTCTTTCTCGAGATATACGAAAAATGCTGAAAACAACACAAAAAAAGTCAGTTTTTTCAATTTCTAAAAAAGTTTTCATTCTGGGATAGGGTATAGAGTGTCTGTGGTAAAAATTTCGACTCGATCGGACCATGTTTTCGAGGGCTCCGAATGTGACTGGATGAAAACTGGAGTTTTCCAGAAAACCCATAGCACAAGATTCTGAGCAAAAATACTTCGATTTTCTTTTTCGCTCTTCTATCTCTCGTATAAATTTGAACTCGATCGGACGTGTGTTCCGCATTTGCAACAAGGTGAAATAAGATGAGGGTACCCTAAACATCGAATGAATTAAAAGTTCAATTGAATGAACATGGACGTGTTCGATATATTAACTAAAGCGGAATAGACTGACCCTATTTCTGACTAACTCTATTCTAACTATTTTAAACTAGACACCTAACTACATGGTCTGACAGGCGCCGATTTTTCTGTTACGCCTTTATTGGTTTTCCAGGCAACCAACAACCTCCAAAACCCGAAAAAGCCTTCCGGATTTTCTAAGAATCCTCAGTTTGACAAAAAACTAAGACCTAATTTAAAAATCGGCGCCAGACCATGTAGTTTCTTTTCCTCTTTTAAACAAGAAAAGAATGAACTCTCTACGACAAACCGCTATACAAAATCTCGGAAAATACTTCAGGTGTAACTCTTATATCGAGAAAACGCTGTATTAAACGCTGTATGGACTACTCGATTTTGGGACTTCTAGGAAAATGCCTGTAACTTTTTTCATTGAAGGTCATAGAGAGTTGTGCGAGGTCTTATTTTGATCACAAACGTTTGCTCTACAAAGCTGTGTATTCAGAAAAATGTTAATTGCAGAAGTATCCAGGAAAAAGCTATTATTTGAAGACCCGGTTTTTTGAGGCTCTTACAAAACTTGCTCAAAGTTCGCGGAAAAGCATTTTTGTGACAAAACGCGATACAGATTCTGCCAGTAGACACTTTAGGGTGTCTTGCCATATGCGTATCTCAAAACCGATTTTTTGACCGAAAACCACCATTTCTGAGGGGGTGGCCCTTCAACCCATGGTATTTATAATGAGTAATCAACGACTGCTCATTAGGTAGCATCAAATCAGAGCTCAAAGTTTTTCCTCTTCATTTTCAGATATTGTGATCTTTATCGGCATACATTCTAGATGATGCTGATTATTGATCTCAATTGCAGATCAATACTTTTCTAACTTGGGAATAAAAGATTTCAAAAAGCAGGGAGGGGATCCCTTTCTACTGTTAGTTCAGTGTCTCTGCTCTCCAAAAGACCCTGCCCCACAACTCTTGAAAAGAAATGAGCGATCGAGGTAGTAGTGCTATTAAGACAGGACGATGATCTTTTCTTTATGCGATGGTAATAGCACGTATTTCAGCCTTTTATGGCCTTTTTCAAATTCCAAAAGAAAAAAATCAAGTAAAACAGACTCTAAAAAACCCTGCTATTTCTTTAGAAAAGAGGAGAACGAACAGATATTTTTCAGTTCACTTCTTCCTTTCCTTACGACAGCAAGCTTTTCCAAGACTCTTTTACCAGCAGTGTAACACTGTTGGTTTTTTTTTCTTTTTAAAACTTTTAACAATTTTACGTCTCTGCCAAAACTTATCCAACCCGTGAGTTATTGCACACGTATACCCTTGAAGGTGTCCTCTACAAACTGGCAAATTATAAGGGCATGTTTTGGGGGAAGGACCCCCCCTCTCAATACAGCGTTTTCTCGATATAAGAGTTACACCTGAAGTATTTTCCGAGATTTTGTATAGCGGTTTGTCGTAGAGGGTTTATTCTTTTCTTGTTTAAAAGAGGAAAAGAAACTACATGGTCTGACAGGCGCCGATTTTTGAATTAGGTCTTAGTTTTTTGTCAAACTGAGGATTCTTAGAAAATCCGGAAGGCTTTTTCGGGTTTTGGAGGTTGTTGGTTGCCTGGAAAACCAATAAAGGCGTAACAGAAAAATCGGCGCCTGTCAGACCATGTAGTTAGGTGTCTAGTTTAAAATAAAACAAACCCAAACTCTCCAGCTTGAAGTATATTAAAAAATCTTGGGACACACTTCAGGGTCCTTTTTGAACCTTGATCTCTGGAAAACTCCTGAACGGTAAGACTTGGAGACAAAAAGTTTTCATTCCCGTAACTCATTGTGCCTAACATTTATTGAAAGTTTCGTCATTATTGGATGTACGGTGTTAGAGATAATTTCTGAGAGATGGGGCCCCTTAAGAGCAGACACGAACATATTTTCTTTTTGTGTTAAAAAAATTCCGTTCGTACTCCATTTGAAAGAGCCTGAGAAACTGAACGAAACTGGCGATTCAGAAGTTTAGAGAAAGAAAGCTTAGTGTGCATTTTTTTCCAATTTTAATTTTTAAAAATGGCATCGATTTTTGTTATTTCCCCACATTTTTGAATTAAAAACAATCTCTAAAATTCTGAACTTATACTGGGCTTGTAGAGCACATTTTTCTCTAGAAGATGATATCTTACTCAGCGTTGTGCGAGTTCTAGATGGACTGGTTGGAATCGCTCGAATTTACCCTGGATACGTCAGGTATCGCGTTAGAGGTAAAATACCGAACTTCTAAAAATGCCGGAAAAAGCTGCACCTGACGTATGTAGAGCACAAAATTCTCTATCGAACCACATATGGCTTAATTTGTTTCACAACACTGTCTAGGCCAGAAAAATTAAGACGAAAGAAAAAGGACTACACTTTTGTCGGCTGGAGCAAAAAATATTTTAATTTTTAAAAGTCCAGTTTCTCTTTGACAAAAATCCGATTATACGGATCTTCGAGGCCGAGATGGCTGTTATATATACCACACTTCAAACCTCCTTTAAAACTTTTGTAGATATTGAAAAGCATCACAAAGAAAAAGAGCTAAACTTTTGTCGTCCAGTTTATATTCACATGAAGTTTTTCCTGCACTAAATAAACATTTTGCAAAACAGTATTATTCCAGAAAAACTTACATTGCACCTGTTGTTGCACCTGTTGTATTCGTAGACGAAGTAGATCGGGAATACATTTTAATAAATCGTTATCTATGAGAATTTCTGGTTTGTCAAGTTTATTAAGTTTTTCTTGCTCTTTTTTCATGTATTCATCGTAGCAGAACAATGCATTCTTCTTGTCATCTAAATCTAAGTAGGCCAATGCTGATTCTAGATAGGTTTCTGATGATTCACCATTTTTATCGGCATCCCGAGCACTTGACCGTCGTCGAAAAGAATTTTTTCTTGAATTAATCACATGCAGTTGAGTATCGTCATCATCAACTTCATTTTCTTCTTGTATATCATTGTTCTCTTCATTACCATCAGTTTTGAGATCATCAATTTTCTTTTGTATTATTGATGTAATTATGTTATTTTCAAGTTGTTCTTCTTTTGCTTTTTTCCACCAGTTTCTCGCTTCACTGTACTGTTCATTTTCGCTATACAAATTTCCAATTTTATACATTAACATACACTGTTGTTCATAATTTTCATTAGATGCTTTCTGATAATATTCAATAACAGTTTCAGTATTAAAGTACTGTTGATACGCTTCTCCTATTCTATAGTAGATGACTGCTAATAAATTTTTATTCAGCGTCAGCGACTGATACCGTATTAGTTTTAAATTTAATTCAAGTGCTCGTTTATAATACGGTATGGCATCATCATCGGCGTGTAAACAAATATCCCCTATCGTCAAATAAATATAAACAAAATCATGTAGATACCGTGAAAATGCTTGACCATCAATAAACTTGATTTGATTCTCAAGAACTAATTGTGGTTTTGAAATTATACTATCTTCTTTGGCAATATCGGGTAAATCTTCAAGTAGTAACAATAAAACTTTCTGCTCAAGTGTTATTGCTTGGTCCCAGTCATCTTTTTTTGCATATGATTCTGATAAATTTTGATATTTTTCAACTAGTGCTTCGTTTGGTATTGACCTGCCATATGTATCATCCACATCGTCTTCATCGCTACTCTGATCACCATCATCATTATCTTCGGCTACACTGTAGGCTTCCAATGCTTTATCTAATTTATCCATTTTACAATAGATGTGGCCCATTTGATAATAATTTTGCTTGATTTCAACATGATTTTCGGGTAAATTAGCAATTTGTATTTCAATTGCTTGTTCATACGATTGTAATGCATCCTGATAATTCTTTTCCTCTAAAAAGCATTGTGCCAATAATTGATAATTTTTAATTAAACTTGGATGATACTGTGACAAATACTTTATTTTCAAATTGATCGATTCTTCACATAATTTTCGTACATTTCTGCACATATCTGCACTAACTGCTTTATAAAACTGTTTTTGGGCTAACTCATCGTATAAAATTGTTAACATAGTCATTGTTTGGTTATCCGTTGTTGTTTTCCCTAATAAGAGACTTTTATATTCGTTTAATATTTTATCATTGTTTTTAAGAGCGGCAGCCATTTTAAAGGGATGATGAGTATCGTTATTTATACTATAGGCTTTTAAGTAGTATTCTGACCCATTATACCCGGGTTGACCTTTAGACTTGTATATATCGCCTAATAGCATATTACTGAGTATAAGATCTTTGGTTTCGACACTACTTTTAAGAAGTTTTATAGCCTGATCGTATATACATAAATCAGAACATAATAAGCCGTAGTTAAACAGATCTGTACTATCTGACTCTGACTCTGATCTTGTATAATAATAATTGTAAGCTATTTGATAAGCACGATCGATAATATTTGTTGGTATATCAAATGTATTTGAATTTGTTGTTGTCGTTTCGCTAGTTAATAATGGATCCAAATATTGTAATGTTTTACATTGAACAGCTTTTTTCCAAATAGTCACACCTTTTTTAATCTGTTCTTTGTGTATATAACATGCACCAGTCATATAAAATAGGTACGACCAATTTTGTTGACTTGTTATTTTACTTGCTTCAAATGGATTTGCATCATATTGTTCAATCATATGTTTATATTTTTCACTTTCATAGTCGTTTATTACTTGATCGAAAAGTTTATTTTTTGTCTTTTCACTCAACATATATAATCGTACAGACATAACTTTTGAATTTGTATCTGTTAGATTGTTTTCATAAATTGTCAATGCTGCTGTATATTTTTCTTCTGCATCATCTGGTCGACCAATAACATTCAATAAATGTCCATAATTTGTTAATAGATCAGCTTTCATCAATTGTTTCTCAAGTGCATCATATGTGATCTTTTTAGTAGGATGAAACTCATTAAGGACATCCAATTATTTTAGTCATTTGTTAGCTTGGTCTACCCCTTTGCTGCTAAACTGTGAAACTTTTTACCATAGGGGTTCCCAAATGATTGATACTACCTATTATCCGTTCCGTATTTATTCTGTTGAGACCGATTTCTGTTATTTAATGGAGTGAGTCCTCGAGGAAGATGGATATGAGTTTGAAACTTTATCTATATACATGCAGACGTGGATTTTGCCGTATTTTCCCTCGTTATCTTACTCATTACTATAGTGCACCGAACGTCGAATATGTACCGTACGTATGCTGCTCGTACATATTTTCAGCTTTTTTAAATTGTTCATCTGCATCATCATAATAGGCTTGCCCCATAGAATAATAAACTTGTCCCATATTAGAATAAATAGACGGTAAATGCTGGCGAATCGATTTCAGTTCACGTAGTTGTAAACGTTCGGCTTTCTTTATATTTTCTAATGCTTCCTCGTTATGTTCCATTTGTAAATATACGTAACCAATATTGTTATATATTTGTGCCAACCTATTACTATTTGAATATTGTAAACGTATTTGATGATCTAATGCTTGTTTGTAACATCTGATGGCATCACCATATAGGCCTTGTTGTGTGTAGATAATACCCATTGAATTGTAAAATAGTGGTAATGATGAATCATCTTTTATTACCGAAACATTTTTAAATAACGAATTGAGATAACGTTTGGCAGCCCGATATTCACCCAAATAAATTAAATATTCAATCAACAAAGCACTCAATTCTGATTGTGATGATCGTTTCACTTTCGATTTCATCTCGTTAACAATTGTTTCATTGTATTCAGTTTGTTTTAGTCTGATACGTGTATATTCATAGCTTTTACCATTTTGTGTTTTAAAATCATTGTTTATATTTTCAACAACAAAAATGGATCCTATTGAAAATAAAACTTCTTTTTCTTCTGGATGGAATGATATTTGTTCAATATTTGTAAATGCACACGGACATTTTTCACCAGGTTTTTTAGGTTCAATTGTTATTTCATACAATACAGGTGAAACATTTGGACGTTTTGATTCTTTCTGACCGTAACCCCCGGTGGCAATGTCTTCGTTTATTGTTGTTGATATAAAGCCGTTCATCGATATTAATTGATTTTTAAATTTTCCTACTTTTTCCGTCATTTCTATTAGTTTTCCGCTGTCTATTTTTTCCGAACGATACAATTTTATATTTGTATCTGATTGTTGTTGTCGATTGTATGCATGTTCAATCATTTGACATAAATCAATAATATAATAACGATAGGACATTAATAATTCAAAATTTTCTGTGCGCAACATGTTATTTATTTGACTATAGATTGATGCTTCGTTACATGAATACCACCAAATAGCATTTTCAAAATTTAATCTATCACCACCACTCTGATTTGTCGATACATTTAGCTATAATGATACAAATAAGATATCAAGCTCAAAGATTATCAACTCCATCTACTTAGATCTAAGACAAGAAATGTGTGTCTATTCCTGTAGAACATAGAAAAACAATACGTAGGAAAAAACTACTGCTTTATTATACCGTTGGTATTCAGATCCGGCATCGAATTCTGTCAGAACTTTTGTACACATTTTAATCTGTACGATTGTTTTACGTCTAGGAACTCCTTCCATTTAGAATATCCTTGTGTTTTGTGCAGTGTTCTCAAAGTTGACTTTTCTTCTTGCAATAAAACATAATAGTTAGATTAAGGGTACCCCCCTCGTTTTTTGAAAAATTTCGGATTTTGAGCTAAGCATAGCCTAATGTAGAGGAAAGTGTGGGATACAAAATGAGACTACTTCCAGTACTCCACGACCTTTCTCCAAAAAGTTATGCAGTTTCCAAGTTTTTTCTTCAAAGCCGAAAAAAACCCAATTTTTTAGTTTCATGAACTTTTCTCTCCTTTTCTGTACATTCAAAATTTTTTACGCGTAGTCTGATAGAATAAAGTGTTTTCTTCACAATGAGACGTTTTCCAGAATTTTCCGATGAGATATAAGCATCGCGGCCAATGTTCTGAAAAAAGTGGTCTGTGTACAAAACGCGTTTTTTCTCGAAAACTATTTTTTTGCGACCAGGCTTCATTGTGACACATAACGACCCGTTAAATTTCATCCAATCGAGTTAAAAGTTTTACCCAAGACACTATTGCAGAGGCAGTTTTTAGAACTTTATTTTGGACTTTTCTTTACCAAGTTATAGGGCTTCTAAAATTGAAAAACTTGGTTTCTGAGACGTTTTCCTATATTTTTCTTATAACTCGACAAGGAAAGGTCGTCTTAAATGCATTTCTCCAAAAGTACCTCTGCGATATGACCTTGAGTACTGCTAAAATTGTTAACTCGATCGGATGAAATTTAAGGGGAGGTCGTAATGTGGCACAATAAAAACAGACTTTTCTGGAAAAGTGGTGAACGGCAATAGTTAAAAACTAGAAACAAAAACGAAAAAGTGCTTCATTGAGTTTCCAATCAATTCTGAAAATATGAAGCCTTAGTGACTTTTAGTTTTTATTTCACAGCATTTTTACGGAAAGCCCGAAAAGAGGGGAGGGGTACCCTTAAGGTTGTCGTGAGAAAGAGTACTTGACAGAAAACTTTTTGGTAGAAAAAATTTGTCGGTGACCGCGTTCCGTAAGATGGAGAGAGTGAGCACATAGTGTCTATAACGGGTTTACGTTACTTGACCGATTTCCCTTCTCGGGATATATTCTTTTGGCCCCACAGGGTCTTTTATTACCAGTAACTTCTACTTCACACAAACAAGAACTACACACACTGTACAATCATGCGTTATATATAAAAAAGTGTAAATACCCAGAGCACGTGGCCAGCTGAAAATCGAGGCAAGCCCCATTATATTCATCTATAGGTCACGGTCTGAGGCAATGAACATGAATAGCTTGTCCAAGACCATTACATAGCAGCTATCGTCACTAGATGGGTTCGAACGCGGCACTTGTAAATACGTTGTCCTAGCCATTAGCTAATACGGCCATTAGCGTTATATATAGAGAGAGAGAACGATAGTGAGAGAGAGAGAGAGAGAGAAAAGAAAGAAGATGATAGAGAGAGATATTGATGGCTATATATCTGTCGAATGAAATTAGAGATAACTAAGAGAAGATGATTGGTCCTTTACACACCTTCCTCGGATTTGACTGCTCCTGCAGTCGAAAAACTGACATTGTAAACGGAGAAATTTTAGAGCTGTGAGATAAATTAGTATACAGAAAGAGAAGATCAACGCCGACGAAAAGAAAAGAAAACATATTTACAGCGCAAAGAAGAAAATCAATCATTCATCTGATATATGCACATCGGTCAATCGAAAAAAAATGTCGTCCTTTTTCTTCATTTCTTACTAATGATAGTAATTGTTTATATATGCTCATGTGGGTCTTTAATTGACCGTTACGATATTATTCATTCGTTTGATCATGTCAGTCTGTCTTGGCTTTTGAGATATCTTGTTTAGGTTGAGAGTGATCACTGCAACCCATGATGTGCTTGATCGACGTGATGTTAATTATTTAGAGAGATTTAGAGAAGAGAGAGAAGATGATAGAGAGAGATATTGATGGCTATATATCTGTCGAATGAAATTAGAGATAACTAAGAGAAGATGACTGGTCCTTTACAGTGTCATTTTAAAAACGAAATCACTTATGTCTACATTCCTGTTCAACTATTTCTCATTAAACTTCCAATAGGAGTTGATGAGCTGAATCAGTGAAAAAAATAATCAGGTGTGAATGTTGTTTCTCTTATAGAACTTATAGAAACTGCAGAATATGATACAATATGCAGCGACCGAGATATTTCGCCATATCTCCATTCCTTTTCTGAGAAAAAAGGCGAGATATTTTCATGAGAAGCTGATCAGAATGAGATTTGTTATACACTATTTGACCCTTCTTTATTCGAAAGTCGAATGACAATCTCACTTTTTCTTCTCTTAGCATTCGACGCTACGATCAATCTCACTGATCACACCTGGCCTCACGATGGAACTTTCTCACATGTCATTCTCCGTTGATGTTTTTATAAAGAAAAATAAAATGAAAAACAATTCCAAGGTAGAAACCTTCTACGCGGCGGAAATAGGAGAACAGTCTGCTTGATAATGCTCATCATGGCAACGGGCCAACTATCCTACTAACCAAAGATGTCCATCCTATTATAACCGTTGCTTTTGTCTCTGAAAAGAAAGTATGCGAAATGCGCATGATCTGAGGAAGAAGTGAAAATACCAACCTTTATAAAAAGTTCGCGCTTGTCGTATTGAAAAATTATGCTCTTTTATTTTGTATCATTTTTAAGATGTTCTTTCAATTTGGAAAACATGATTTTCCTTAGAAAAGTAAAAGCTCATCGTTACTTAGAAGAAGTGGAAGCTTGAACATTTTTGTGCCATTAAGAGACCACTAGAACATTTAAAGCAAAAATTTTAGTCCTTATTTCGCTGTTTTGATTAAGAGACGAGACAGCGACTGGTGCTATGTATAGACAATTTAAAGATGCGCCCGCTTCAATTCGTCTAGAAATTTATAAGATCTGTATATTGACTAGACTGGATTACGCCTGTGCTTTGTATAACAATAACTTTGAAATTGGAAAGTCAACTTGAATCAGTTCAAAAATTAGCGGCTCATACGATCGCACGTGATTTTCATACACCAGGAAAAGCCCTTGTAGAAAAACCAAAATTACCTTTACTCATCGTGCGATCTAGGTACTTCTGATTAGTGTATTTGTTTAAAGTCCTTAACGGCTTATCACCCCCATCTCGCTTCAATTTTATACAATTTGGTGAGAGTAGAAGATCCGATCGCCTATTACAGCATAACAGACAAGCTTTTATCCCATTTGCGCGCACTGAAACTGTTTTACAGTCTTTTTTTGCGTAGGACAGCTCGTGATTGGAATTCTCTCCCCAACACTGTAGTTACCTCGTCAACAATAAAATCTTTCAAAACCAAACTGAGGCAGTACCTACAACTGTAAAACGAAAAAAATAGGATAAAAAGGTGGCAATTTTTATAGGTGTTTACGCCTTTTTTGCTTTCCTGACAACATGTTTATGTGTAGGTTACGCTTTTGTATTGTAAAAATAAAGTTTTTACTCTTTTCTGTACAAAACTGCCGTTATCGAAATAAAAATCAATCAGTCAACTTTTAGTGTTACTGTGTTCGTCCTCCAAAGCAAACGAAAAAAACTCATAACTGCAGAAAGAAGCAACTACGGTCGCATCAGCACACTACCCTGTATCGATAGGCAGAATAACGTTGAAAACGAAGAATGACTTGTGGGAAGGTTCCATTATCGGTTGTTCGTAATTTCAAGACGAAAAACTCCAGTAAACTGATGCCAAACTGAATGCAAGAGCAATTTTCGTGCTCCTTTATATCTATACGCTCCCAAGAATCTTCAAAAGGTCTAGTAGGCGGGAAGAATTCTTAAGGAACCAGAAACCACAGAAACCCTTCTTATATTTTCGGAAAGGCAATATTCTTCCGTACAGACTAGCTTATAGTTTAACAGAAAATAGTAGAAACTTATGTGAATTGGTAAACACTTCGTGAATTCGGTCTCTCTGTACCGTGGCGTCTCAGAAAAGATTTATATTTGTTATACTTACTTGTACTTGTTTTTCATCTTGATCAAACGTATTTCGTTTGTATGACATTTTGAATGTTTCTGCATAGAGTTTTTCTACATTCCATTTTTTAATTTTCTGCTCATAATCTTTGGCAGTGGTCTAGAAAAGACCAGAAACCAAAATGAAAGCTTTTCTGCGACTAAAAAAGAATCAAACCAAAAAGGCATATCTTACATCAGGTCGTTGATTTTCAATATATTGTTTAAATGTTTTTAACATATCATCTCGTGCTATCTCCATATCGTAATTAACAAAAGGATCTTCGTCGTCTGTCTTCTTGTTCTTACCCATCTGAAGAAATATTTCCTTTATTCGTCTGAGCCAAATATATGAACTTGACGCTTGTGATAAATCGTTAATCGATGATTTTGAACCATCAAATATTTTCGGAGGTAAGAATGACTCATCATTATCATCCTCATCGTGGAATGCTGAAGATGGTACTGGTAGTTGAGCGCCGCTAATGGACGGTAACACCGACTTTTGTTGTCCGGCAAATGTCTTGTTTATTGATGGTGAGGATAAAGCTATTGAAACACTGGTGGATGAAGTTCGTCGTTGGTTTTCCCCAAAAAAATTTATTGGCTTCCGTGGAATAACAGAACCAGCATTCCACTGTTGTTTTTTCTTCGTATTAGCTGCCTTTGACATAGGTCTTTTTCTGTTCTTTTTTTAATAAAAATAAAGAAATTACGCTATGAAAATTTTAGGATTCAGATGGAAGCAGAAGAAGAAAAAACCCATGCTGTTATTTTTCTTTCTTCTTCAAACAACGGTGATTGGGTTTTTTTGCTTTGTTATTGTTTTCTTTGCCATTGATCAGCAGAAGGTTGTATATATGATCGAGAAAAAGAGAAAAAAAATCGTCTTTTAAAATTCAAGAACAGTGTACTATGTAAACTAGATTCTGTTTACTAGAACAACACAATTCCAACTTTCAGGCTTCTGTTTGTTCTTTCTTTACTTTTACTCATTTCAATCAAATGGAAAAAACTCGCAATTTTTCCTGTACAGGCCTTTTATCCGAATCCCAGTAACAGGCCTTCATTTACATTTGTATGTGTTGTTTTAACAGCACGATCATGTTTGATCTCAGCTGAATCCTGGTTAGTTTTCCTCGTTTATAAACATCAAGAAGTTCTTTGAAGGTGCCAGCAATTCAATGTTTGGGTTCTGATGTATTTATACATGACTGGATAGATCATATCGAGTAAGAAAACGTAGGTTTTGCCTTTCACACAAGGAAATTCGAAAGTATTGAAATTTTTAAACTTATTAAAAAGCGTTCGTTAAGTTTGAAAAACGGGCGAACTTTTCTACTTTCTTCTTGTTCTTATTTTTTTGATGAATTTAAACTGATTTCAACTTTCGAATCAATCCAGAACAGTGTATAATAAAGCCATGGACACATTAGAAGACCGCCCTAGAATAGTAGGGTAGACCGAAAAAAGTTAAAAAAAGAAAAGTATTAAACGCCTAATATTAAAAATCAATTAAATATTTTTCTATCTTATTTAAATGTTTTTCTTGTTGTAAGATAGAAAAATATTGAAGTTTTTCGCCTAGGATAGAAAAATATTTAAATAAGGTACAAAAGTCAGGTTTCGCATATGCGTACCTTCAAATTGCAGCATCAGTTCCTTCATTTTGAATGAGATAAACGGGATAGAAATATATTGAAGTTTTTCGCATTAGATAGTAAAATATTTAGTTATTTTAATATAAAGGAAAAATATTTAAATAAAGAAAAATATTAAACGAACTTATATTTAAATAAGGTGGAAAAATATTTAATCGATTTTTAATATTGGTTGTTTAATATTTTTCTTTTTAACATTAGTCTATAGATCCGAACAGAAGACCCTTCCATAATAGAAGACCACGCTTGAGTGGGCGAAGCAAAAGGCAGGTTAAAGACCTCTCTTAACAAAGGTTGCTTTTTTGAGAATTTTTTGCAAACTTTTTTACTTTTTTGCACGTCTTTGAATATGCATTTCTGTAGCTAAAGCGAAATAATTTTGGAATTGAGCAAAAACCGGTAGAGAGTAGCAGTTTTCATTTCTGAAAGTGGACCCCTTGAGAAATAGATCTATGAGTAAGTCAACGTGATTCTACCAGCTGCAGGTGACGTACTTCATAAATCTTTTTCGAACAGATACAGACTGTAAGGTCCCAGAGCGAAACGAAATATCGTCTGAAGTCTCGAGGTCTATCCAATCAATTTTGACAGAACTATGACTTTTTCAATATTAGATGGAAATAGCTTAAAATGGGGTTATTTCCACATAAAAACAGATTTTACTTGAACTTTCAATTTGTTCGGAGAAATGAATATTGACACAAGATTGAGCGTGGTTGATAGCCTAGGTTTCCATCTATTTTGAACGTTCCCCACCTGAATTGAATAGTTAATGAGTGTTTTGGATACTGGAATCCTGCAATTAAAGATCAACTGCGTCGGTTCGAGATTGATTCTCTTCAGATATTGGATAATCTTTTGTTGAAAAGAGGTGGTTATTCCTGTCTCATTTTGTGAGGGTTATTCACTCTCATTTGGAATAACCGAATTCTAATTATGAAGAAAATATTAAAATGTTAAAATATCGATATGGTAAGAAAGTAACGGTTTCCAGCAACATTCAGATAGAATAGATTTTCCCCGAATCTAGAAGTAGTGGAATATATACTTTTATAAAAAAAATTAGTTTATTCACGACATTTTCCTTCCAATTTTTTTCTTAGAGTCTTGGGAAAGACTTGGGGCTGTTCCAGAAAAACTGAATGTTTCTGTTTTTCAGACCCAACAAAGCAAGTCTTCGAAACTGAGCTTAGATTAAAAAAAATTGACTTTATCGGTCACACACAAGCAATCCGAGATATGGCTTCTGATGAGGGACAAAAGGTTTCCGTGGAAGTGTTACTGATTCTCGGGCTCCAAAGAAGTCTAATACAACTCCCAAACGGTTGAAAATAAACAATACTCATATGGTCATTGATTCTATTCTCTCAGTTGCTTTTTTCCTGTAGATAGTTCATATTTGTTTTGAGCACAGTATTTACAATTCAGAAAACATTGCTTTACTTTCTCTATACTCTCGACATTTTAGCTATTTGGACTCAGATCAATCATTACTATGTATGTCTTGAATGTATTGAACACATGAAATTGTATAGAAATGACTATATCAATGTGAGTTCCAGTGTAAAAGTGGATTCTAGTTTTCTGCACTTTTATCATTGTAGAATATTGCGATTAGTTACACAAAATATATTAACTGTTGAAAGACTCAGATGTAAGAATTGATCTTCTCTCCACCCAGAAATCACTGGGACGGTATTCAATCAATAGGAACGGTATTTGTAGATGCTATGAATAGTCAAGAACTAGTAGACCGATGGTCCAGAAATAAATCTGGTCGTAGAATTTAGTATTTTGTTTTGTGAAGGATATGAAGGAACAATGAAAAAATGCTGTCTCCTTCGTGTGTCTGCAAAGTGTGGAGGTAACGGATTATACAACTGTAAGTCTGAAATGAAAACATGTCAAATTTTGTATTATTTCTTTTAATTTATCAAACTTGCCAGAAAATCTTTTTGAACTTACTCCGGTTTTTGAAACTACCATCCCCTGCTTTTACTTCTTCGCGCCGCCACTGCCAGAAATCCACTTAGTTTGATAATAATTTTATTCCATTTGTGTCTCGAGGGATTGCATTGAGACCGAAGCATTATCATGTTGCTTTTTCGTAGCCAAAATTTGTCGGTTTTTACATACCAATCAATGATTGGTTTGACATATTCACGCAGCCATCACCGCTCTCTCATGATCAAATGCTTCGGTCAATCAACTGTTTAGTGGTAAAAACTTCGAAAATTAGATTTCCCAAATGTAGAATGCCTGTTTATTGCATCGTGAAAGAAAACGTTAGAGAGATTCTTTAGTTTCAAGATACTTTTACCAGATGGCAGCAATGGTCATCGGTTTTTTCACCACGATGTAGCTTAGATCAAAGAAGGATTTGTCGGCTGGAAAATCCGTCTTTCAATTTTGTAAGATTGATAAAGAACAGTACATATAAATCTTACAAAATGTATTAATAAATCATAGAAAGCTTGATCGTCTCAAAAAAAAACGTCTTCTTTATTTGGCTGAGCTCGTTTAGACTTTATTATTAGAAAAGCAATCAAGATGACCACTTACAGCTGAAAGCACAAATGTTGCCACAATAAACGGAATACAAAATTTATCTTTTCTCCGTTACTTCCCGAACTCCGCATACTTTTAATAAAAGTGACTATACCTGTATCCCAAACTCCGCACATAATTACATAAATTTGAAATGTACGTGATCTCAAACTCCGCACACTTTTTAATTAGCAAGTAAAACATGGACTGTAAGAAATAAAAAAGCACATATATTCTTTCATATATTCTTAATTTGATTGTGATATTTCGTGGACGATAGTTTTTTGGAGAACACAATAGTAGGGTAGCGAGCACTAAATTTGCAAAAGTAGAAGCCGAGCACTAAATTGAGCACTATTTTCGAGATGTGTTAGAAGAGAACTTGTAAATAGATTTAT